CTTCACATAAAAAGCATTTCAACTTAGGAGTGACATCAGTTCAGCCTTCCGTTGCTTTTCCTTTGTTTCAGTTGTTACTGTTGCTGCCGTTAAAATTTCCTTGACGGCTATTATGATAGTTTCCCTAAAAGTCATGGGTGCTTTGATAGGCTCCTTTTCTATTCTGAGAGTAACGCTCTCCCCCATTTGGGTTCGAACTAGGTATCTATTACCACCTCCAATTGCTTGATTACTTCTCGAAGGTCGATCTTTTCTAGATTCTGTTTGGTAGTCGCTCAAGCATTCATCGGCTCTCATGACCTTGCTCAAATTAGTAACTTTCTATCTTTGAAGTTCCGTGCGTGTCTACGGTTTCAACCCTTCCATAAAGGTGAAGAGCTTATCATTTTTCAACATATCTCGAATATTCAGCATATGCCCTGAAAAGGATTTCACATACTCCCTGATAGAGCTTGTGTGTTTCAGGTCTTGAAGTGCCCGTCGAGCCTGATACTCGACATTTTTTGGGAAAAACTGTGATCTGATCGCTTCCTTGAGGAGATCCCAAGAATCTATTCGAACCCTGTGGGCCTGAATGTCAGCATATTTTGTTTGCCACCACAGTTTTGCATCTTTACCCAGATACATGGTAGCTGTGGTTACCTTTCTAGCTTCGTCCTCGATCGAAGCTGCAAGAAAGTACTGTTCCATATCAAACAAGAAGTTTTCGACTTCTTTTGCATCACGTGCCCCTCCATAAGTACACAGTTCAGGAATTCTGAGTCTAGGAGCATACTCAGGTACGAGAGCTTGCCCATTACCCACTGTACGTTGGAGTACCCGTAATTGAGCTCTCAATGCTTCCATTTCATCCTGCAGATCAGGAATGATTGCAACAGTTTCAGTCATTGCTAAGCAAGCCCTTTGGCTTTCATCCAGTTGGATGTATAATCCACGAATCTCGGATTCGGCCATCTCGACTTTTTCCTCGAGACCTTCCAAGGCATAGCACAACCTAGTAGTTGTCTCATCAAGCGCATCCACGCGCTGTTTAGTAGTACCCTTCTTTTGAGGCTCTACCACTTTAGTGGCGTAGGATGTAATTGGATCCATATCTTTCTTATCGAGGGTCGTGAGCCGCAACTCTGATACCAACTTTCATGGGGTGCCTTTCCTTTTGGCACAAAAAGGGACACCGTGCGACGGTAGTCTGCTCCGCAAGACTACCTTTCGCCTTTTTCGATCGCGTTGGGACAAAAGAAAATTTTATTACAATTTTGTAAAAAGCTTATAATAGAGAATTTAAATACAGTGAAAGTAAATTGAACATTGATTGATGAAAACTGAGCATTACAATTAACAAAAACAGAAAATTACAATTGTTGGTGCAGGGGGCGGACACCAGTAGAGCTTGAAAGATTTTTGAATGACTAATACCTCATATAATAGCATTCTGAACAAAAACCTAAGTGACAGGAGTAGACGTTTAAAAGACGATGAATCATACTAAACGTTTACTAATATCAGAGTTATTTTACAATTGAAATAACTATTACAATGAAAAGAAAATTACAACTCAAACTTGAAGTAATATTTACAATATGCGGTCGAAGTTGGGCAAATTGCGACTGCGATAGTGTCAAGGGGCTAAATAAAGCTGCGGTCTTTGACACCTCATCTATTCGAGGCTATTTATAAGACTCAGGTAGCTTGAGAGTTATTCGCGGATGTTTATACCTCGCCTCACCAGATGTTTATTATTGGCGTTGCAAGCGTTTATTCCTTGCCATTCACATCGTTGAGCTTAGCCGTAAGACCTCATCTACTGAGGTTACTTATAAGACTCCAATAGCTCAAGAGTTATTTGCAAGGATGTTAATTCTCCGTCTCTCCAAATATTTATTTCTCGCCCCTCACTATCGTCGAGTTTAGCCGTAAGACCTCGTCTATCCGAGGTTACTTATAAGACTTCGATAGTTTGAGAATTATTCACATAATGTTTATTCCCCACCTCCCCAGATGCCTATTCCTGGCTTTGCAAGATGTTTATTCCTCGTCCCTCACTATAGTCAAGTTTAGCAGTAGTACCTCGTCTATCCAAGCCAGCTTATAAGATTTCGATAGTTCAAGAGCTATCCGCAGGATGTTTATTTCCCGCCTCCCAGATGACTATTCGTGGCTTCATGAGCTAAATATTCCTCGCCCTTCACTATTGTCGAGCCCAGCTATAAGACTTCGTCTATTCGAGGCTTGCTTATAAGTCTCTAATAGTTTGTGACAAGCCACCAGCTTGATATTTATTCCTCATTCTGGAGATGCCTCACCGTATGAGTTATTGCATTATAGCCGCATTTATCTTCAGAAAGCTCATCATGCATAAACTGTTACAACTACCTATCTTTCAGAGTTTTGCTTCTGCTTCAGCCATGTTACATGTACTTATTTTCAGAGAACTTACATTATCCTTTGCATGAATAAATCACCCACCATATACAAAGCCCTTGACATGGATGAACCATCCACGGATAAATCATCCACCATGTAAGAATGTCAATTACCATTTCATAAGGAGAGGGATGGGCTCACTTTATTACTTGCGAAGACGAAGCCTTCCACGGTTCCTTCCATGGCTGGATCAAACACTGTGGAGAAAGCCCTTGCATAGAAGAGTAAACCCCTTGCAAGAAGGTAAAAAAGCTAGCTGGGGCTCAATCTTGGTTCTTAGGTATGGGTTGAACATGTAAAAAGAAAAAAAAAGGTTCAATCAAAGTATAATTCCCAAGCGGAAATTCGTCCGAGATATTGGAAGCCATTGCTTTTACCTACAATGGTTTTACTTTGAAATCATTGCGTGGGTTCCCCTGATAGGTGGGCAAAAGGAATACAATCAGCAGCAGAATCTACCTCTCTCCCTCTCTGTCTCTCTTCCTCAATTTCATAGCCTTCGCTGTAGCATCAAGGATTGTAACTAAGATACCCTTCGTGGAGTACAAGAGAAGGTGATTATATAAGTAGAAACTAATATTTGAAAAACCCCCAACTCAGGTCTAAATATGATACTATCACTACACAAACATATATCCGAATGGCAATCATCTCAACACAAGCTTAAAACATATGAAGTAGCAGTAAATGAATATAATCTTTTTATTTATCCAACAAGTAAATATAAATCAATCTATTTTCCCGTATACTATTTTAACACGAGCTCAACAAATATATAGATACTCAAATTGTTTTCAAATCAGGACCTAAGTCTGTTCAGTGTGCAAGTAGATTTTTCACCTAATACTAGAAGATGAACCGCCCATTGCAGATTTTCGTATGCTGGAGAAAAGTTTCTCTAAAATATGTCATGTGCGTAGTAAAACCTAAGACGAAACAATTCTCAACTGCATCGTGGAATAGCACTATGACATAAGTTACTTCTCGGGCACCAAATGTTCAACATCTCCGAGCTGAAGTTCATCTCTTGGCAGCTCATATTCATTTTGAAATAACAATTCAATCTGCTCTAGGGATTTACCTTTTGTTTCTGGAACAAATTTGTAAACAAAGACAACAGCAAGTGCTGAAATAGCTGAAAAGATAAAAAATGTTCCGCCCATTGTGATTGCACGGGAAACAGAGAGGAAAGACATGGCTATTAAGCCACTGCATACTCTATTGCCCACTGACCCGAGTGCGGATGCCTGAGCACGAACCTTTAAAGGGAAGATTTCAGATGTCACAACCCAGCAAACAGGACCAATTCCCACAGAAAAGAAAGCTACATTTCCACAAACTAACAATATTGCTAAAGCAGTTCCTACAGATCCTTCATTTAGTAGGGATAGTGTGACGCCCACGCCAAACAAGCAGATTGTCATGCCAATGGTGCTAACATAGAGCAACGGCTTTCTTCCAGCTTTGTCAATAAGTATAATAGCAACTAGTATAAACACGGTCTTCGTGATTCCCACTGAAACAGTGGCAGCAAGAAGCTTTGAATTACCGTCAAGGCCAGCTGCTCTAAAAATCTCGGGACTGTAATAAACAGTTGCATCAATACCCGTAATTTGTTGAAAGCACTGTATCCCAAAACCAGCAATAAGCATTCTTAGAAGTGCTGGAGAAGGACTCAACAGTTCACGCCATACAGCTTTCTCACCATTGCTCGCCCCAACAGCTAATTGTATTTCTGCAAGTCGCTCCTCGACTTCAGACTCATCATCATTTGTTTTTGACAGTACTGATTTTGCTTCTTCTATTCGGTTCTTCACAACTAACCACCTAGGAGATTCAGGGATTATGCACAAGGCAAATGCAATAAAGACTGAAGGCAGAATTCCCACTGCAAGCATTATTCTCCAGTTTGTATGGGCTGGAAGGCTGGAAAATGCATAATTAGAGACATACCCAAGTAGGATCCCAGCATTTATGAAAATTTCAGGAAATGATGTCAATTTGCCTCTGGAAACTGTTGGTGATATCTCAGCTATGTATACCGGTGCAATCATGACTCCGAGACCAATTCCAACACCGGCCAAGATTCTTCCGATCATTAGCACTCGAAATGTCGGAGCAAGAGTCATCACAGCTGCACCTGCTTGAAAGATAATGGCGGCTAATCCCATTGTCCATTTTCTACCAATAACATCTGATGCTCTTCCACCAAATAAACTACCAAATAGAGAAATCACACTCAAAACACCAACAAGGAACTCTTCTTGGAACTCACTTATCTTTAAATCTTCTTTAATAAATATGATTGCTCCACTCATGACACCAACATCTGCAAATCGAAGACAGAGTCAGTCATAGACCACTCTCATGAATTTAGACACTAGCGAATTGCACTGCCAACAAAAATCTTAAGCAGGGCACAAATATAGATAAACAAGCATTTTAGCAATAATAGTGAAGTAAATAAATGTTTTCATCTCTTTTGTGACTTCGTTCATCAAAGTTTGCAACTCCAAGCGTTGGTACGAGAGGGCTTAAACATTAAGGCATAAGATTTTTATTAAGCATAATATGTTCCTAGGACAATATACTAGTTTCCTGGTCGGAGTACAAGGATTACCTGAAAAATTTTAAAAAATTTACACTGTAGCATTTGGTGAAAAGCCTTAGCAAACAAGTATAATCTTTTATCCCCAAATCTTCCAGGCTGCCAAACTTGGCTCATATATAAGGTTGTATACAACTTCTTTGAATACCAATAAACTCATTATAAAAAAAATGTCATCTCACACCAACGGTGAAAGCAAAAAGAAAAGAGAATAGAATTAACCTAGCTATGAATAGCCCGGGAAGAAGTGGAAAATGAAGCTAGATTCACGGCCATTATATTCCCATAGCGGAAAATGAAATGACAAGAGCCACATCTAACATACTTTAAATAGCTACAATGTCTAAACAGACTGAAAGGAGTCGAAGAAAAAGAGTTTCCTGGATTGTGTTTATATGTAACTTACAAACAACAAACCTCCCTCATTTTGGGGCAGATTTTTTTCTCACAAATTGAGATCCCAATTTTTCAGCAATTTATAATTTGCATACTATCCTCAAGCAGCTTATTAACTTTTCTTGATTATCCAGATCAATATTCTTTGTTTGCTTCCACATATACACACAACCCTCAGAAGAAAAAAAAATGGACATGATTCTCTTTTTCACAGAAGATCATTATGAACAGAGTCTTTTGAAGATTAAGAAATTACAAAGCATAAGATTGAACAAAATAACGCAAAGAAAAGAAAGATCAATTAAAATGCAGGTAAAATGAGAAAAATTAAATGGTATTACCATAGCCAAGGAGGACATTATTGAGTGAGGCAAAAACAGCACAAGCAATTACATATTTCTTTGTACTATTTATCTTCTTCTCCAACGGATTATGTTGCTCAACATCGCCATCATAATCAGTCAACTCAGAATCCATTCTTCTATACTTGTTCTTCGCTCCCAAAGGCACACCACCCAATCCCATCTCCCCAACCCCATTTTCTCGGATACCTGCCAAAACCATCTCAACTAGACAGGCACCGAGTTTTTAGATCCTAAAAACAAACGCCCAGAAAAATACAACAGATGCTATGATGTTCTCACGGTGAAAATTGATAAAGAGCCCGACTGAGGTAAGGAATTTCAGATCTGAAAGGGTGACAGGGGAAGACTTAGCGATGGGTCATGGGACCTGATCGGTCGTGTAAATTGACCTCTTACTTTTATTTATGTTTAGATGGAGCTTTCCAAGTAACAGCTGTGGGCTAATTTGGCAAATAATTTGTTTATTGCTCATTCATTTTCCATTTTTTTTTTTTTTTGTTTGAAAGTGATTTTGAGAATTAATTTTTTGATAGTTAGAAAAAAGTGGGATTCATCTGTGAAAAAAAAAGTCAAATATGACGATTGAAATAGTGAAATAACGGTCAAAACATCAATTTTTTGAACGAAAAAAATTATTCCCAAACAGGTTCTACATCTGCGGTCAATGAACTTTAAGTGACATCTCAATTAGATAATTAAGTTTTAATTTAATTTTAAATGTCACTAGTCGGTTACTTTTCATTACGATCGTCTCCAAAGTAACGACAATTGCTTATTGGGGAACTAACCATGAATTGATCTTCTACATAGTTACTTTGTGACATGCCAATTAAATACAATAAAATAATCCAATCATCATTCGTTTTCTTATTTCTTTCATATGCCCATTATTTTAATGGAATCGAATAGTCAAGTGCACGTAGAAGGTTGGACGAACTTGTCTGGTTGGATAGGTAATACAATATTGTTTAATCGTTCAATGTACAACAAATTCTTATTAAGACATGTCTAGTACATGACAAATTACAAGATTTCCTTTCTTAAAATTGAATGTGCATGTTTGGCTAAGGTTTAGACCTTGCATATAAATAAACAATTAAATTTGAAATAAATAATTTGTTTTGTTGTTCAAAAGATAAAAAATAAGTATAGCTTTTAAATCCCACCAAACAATTGATTAAAAGCATTAAATTATCGGGTAAATATATACGCATTAATAAGTATTTATTCGGTCAAATAAATAATGATTTTCATCTCAGAATTCACTACAAAATTTGCGAGTTTGATTGGTTCACTTACGTGCCGGTCCAATTAATTCGACAGGCCCTGACTTCTACCTGATTTATTGAGTTTTTGGCCGACCGAATGGAACGAGTCAATTTTTACAACAATTGAAATAAGTAAATTAAATTATTTTGAAATCTAACCATATCTTACTCTCAATAAATATCTTTTTACTTATAAGTACAAAGTAAACAGTATAGACAAACATAGAGCATGTTTGGCAGAGATTTTAATCCAATTAAAATCAATTTTTTAATTGTTATTTCACTATTTCAGCCGTCATTTTGGAATTCTTCTCTTACAGGTAGGACCTACTTTATCTCTAACGGTCAAAAAATCAATTAATAAAATTCCTACCAAACAAGCGCATATATATAGGAATAGAAAATATCAAAATCTACTAATGAGATTTGTTTGAATAAGTGGACCACATTGTGCCAAATAAATTCTTAATAAAAATAAAATCAATTCAGATTTTTAATTTAAGAATATTTCCGTTTAACATTGAATTCCACTTATCATAAACAAAAGTGCAAAATCTTTTGTTCCTTTTTTGGGCACAAGAAAAATAAAAATATTTTAATTGCAAATTAAGTTTTGTATACTTGAATTTGGTAATTAGTCGAGAGCTATTAAATTATCATAGCCTCGTATACACAGGGCCGGTCCTGGGTTGAGGCATTTGAGGCCTCAGCCTCAGGCCCAAAACCCTTAGGGGGCCCAATTTTGCTTCAAATTTTTTTTTTTTTTTTTTGGGGATAGTTTTGGATTTTGGATGTTATTTTAATTTTGTATTGTTTTCGTAAACTTGTAATGCTCAAATTTTTGCGTACATAATTGAAAATGTTATTAGATTTTTACGTAAATTTTTATGTTGATTTTGTCCGGGGTCCCAATTTACGGACCTCGCCTCGGGCCTCCATTATCACAGAACCGGCCCTGCGTATACAATATGTTACCGACTTTTAAAAAATTTGAAGTTTTGATGCTAATGTGGCCATGTGATGGTTTAGAGAGATGTGATCGATCGTTTATAGTATATACAGAATTGGAAATGGTTATAAGTCACGACTAATGAATGTTATTGCTCGTGCCATTTTTTTCGATCTTGTGTATATAAATTTATCAAATATGTTTTGATGGATAAATTTTGAATTTTGAAAATTAAAAAATCTACCCAATATAATTATAGAATAAATGATGATATTGGACCTCTAGTTGGTAACACTATATTAATAAACTAGATTGAGAACGTGGAGATGAATAGATAGTATAAATATATTATTTGTCTTAATTAAATTATATTCCCTATATTCCCTATGCAGTTACTACTTATCTTGTATGGTGATCGTTCTCTAATATTGTGATCGTTTTGTGTAGGCAAGCGATCAAATTACTTGAAAGAAAATTTACGAGGGGTGTTCTCAACTAAGATTTTGATTAATTTTAAAAGATTATAATTCTAATGAATTTTGTGGATTTGAATAGATTTCCACAAATTCCATAAGAATCTCATTAAATATGGTGAAATTTCAAAAGATTTGGTTATATATATAATTATAAGCTTGAAATCCATCCAAATATTTTAAAATCCATTTATCAATAAAATCTTTATAAATCCATTAATTATTGAGGATAATTAAATTTTAAAAAATTTCATTAAAATCTCAATTAGGGACAACTAAATTTTAATGGATTTTATTAAAATCCATTAAAATCTTAATTGAAGACATCTAAATTTCGAATAATTTTTAAAATACATCACAATCTCAATTGAGGACACCTCTCTTAATAATTGTAATATGAATATGAGCTATAGTTTTTAAGCCGTATCTAATAATTGACCAAATGAAGACAGTTAGCGAACCGATCTAAAGTTTAAATGAACGAATTGTATGGTTGATTACGAGTATGGAATTTATGTGCAAAGAAAATAATTTTTAAGCAATTGCATGGAAATTGTCAATTAAATATAGTTGATTGACTTTATTTTCAATTTATAAAATGTTATAGTTGTCCATTTTTTATTGGTAGATAGATGAGAAAGAAAAATGATGAATGACCTGGAAAATAAAAGCTTGCTTATTCTAAAGAAAATATGGTTACGTGATCAAATGTAGGAAAATATTTTTCATAAAAAAATTATCAATCAAACAACACAAAAGTAAAAATTTAGATGAGAAAATGACATTTTTCATAAAAAGTACTGACAATCAAATGCACTCAAAATATTTTAAGTAGAAATATGTAAAATGGATAGGGGCCAAATAGAGTCATAGTTAATTAGCAATTTAATAATTAAAAAAATTCCATTTTTTATTTGTCAAAATGATTTTTATTTTGTCCCATGTTTCGTGTGTATCAAAATATTGATAAAAATTTAAGTTAAAATCAAAAAATTAATTTAATTATATATTTATTGAGATTCACAATTTTCAAGCACATATTTCATCAACTCTTTTCAAAATTTACTAAAATTTTGATTTTTAACTACACAAAACATGGGCTAATATATATATATATAAATTTTTGTAAATGCAATTAAGCAACAAGAAATGAAATAGTAGTTGATTGTTTCTTTATTTCTCAAGGGTTCAAAAGAAAATATGTAGTAGAGCACAGTGGTTTTGAGCCCTCTTTTTTTTTTTCTTTGAGGTTTGGATTTAAAATTTAAGTATCCTCAATAACTCATGAATTTATAAAAATTTTATTAATAGAAGGATTTTAAAAGATTTGAATTGATTTCAAACTTTAAAAATACATATTACCAAATCTTTGAAATTTTACCATATTTAATGTGATTCTTATGGAATTTGTAAGAATCTATTCAAATTCACGAAATTCATTAGAATTTATAACCTTTTAAAATTCATTAAAATTTGAGTTGAGAACACCCTGTTATTAGTCTGTATTTTTAAACTTAAAATCTATCAAAATCTTGTAAAATCTCTATTAAAATTCACTAGTTACTGAAAATATCTAAATTTTAAAGAATTTAATTGAATTTTATTAAAATGTCAATTGGGTACACCTATATTTTAATGGATTTAATTAAAATTCAATAAAATTTGAATTGATGACACATAAATTTTAAAAGATTTTTAAAATCCATTACAATAACAACCAAGGATACCCCTTTTAATCTAATAGTATACAGCGTATAGGACAATAGATTGAGTCATCATTCCGATTGATTGATCCAGTCCGATTTAATATTGAATCAGGCTCTCATTGTAAATAGAATCTTGTTATTTGAAAAATGTAACTATCTAGCAACATGTTATTAATTTAGATTTCGTTTCCATTACAAATAAAATCAATGTGGCTGGTTAATGTCAGGCATGGATACAACAACTGTAGAATACATTTCGAAAAAATGTCACATTTTATCGATAATTGTAGGCAATAATGTTTATTCTAAGTTTATGTTTTGTATTCCCTCATCGCAAGTGTACAATATCGAATAAGTAATATAAAGGACATTTGAGTCCGAATAATCGTTCATATAGAGACTATTATTTATACCTAAATTATTATCTCTACTTCTATTGATGAAAACAAATGATGCTTTGTTCATTGTTTATCTAACTTATTCTTCTAACTAAAATGTATCAAAATGCACACAATAATAGAATTGGGTTTTATGTATGATAGGGATATTAAGGAACAGAACTTCATTTATTGATCATTTTTAATTCTCTAATCAGGATTCTAAATTTAATACCATGTTCCATCAGATTATTCTAATGTATTCAATTTACCTCTTTCAATATCAAATTGATTCTCTTTAACTAAATCAATTATGTATCTCCATGTGATTCATGATACATATTAGTTAAACGTCTTAATTATCTAAGAATTTATGCAATGATCGCAGTCACTAAAAAAGGCATCTCTACATTTTCATACTATTTTCCTAATTTTACTTTGTGGTCTACATCTATAACTCTCTAATCGTTATAGATTCACAAGATCGTCGAATTATTGATTAAGTAATTTAAGTATTAAGCGCCATCAATAAAATCCACACACATAATATTAAGAACTAGAAAATTGAATTAAAGGATCTCAACAAACTATATTGTTAATCCTAACAAAAAATTTA